CAGTGAGCTCCCTGCAGCTGGCCCTTGTCCCCTGGCTTGCTACTCTTTTCCCAGTGCCTGGCACCGTGATCGACACCCAGTAGGCCCTCAAGTACCCGTTTCCTTCCTCTCTCACAGGGAGTAACACTACCTGCCACCAGTGTTGTTCCGAAGATTAAATGGGACAAAGCTCTCCAGCAGGCCTGGCCCAGCTCTGGACCATTCCCTAAGGACGTGCCTATTTCGCAAGCGGGTGTGGAGAGAGGGAAGAGGGTCCTCGTGGGTTGGCAGGGGTCTGCCCCGCTGCAGGTCCCACAAAGGGCGCCTTGTGTGGACCTGGTGGCAGGATGCCTTGTGGGACAGCTGGGCCCAGGGCTGCCAGGCCTGGGCTGGGCTGGGCTGGGCTCTTGGCCACAGGCAACCCTCTAAGGACCCTTTCATCTGAGTCCCAGCTGCCACTTGGCCAGCTGGCTCAACGCCCAGCCGCCTGGAGAGGAGAGGGGCTGGCAGCTTTGTCTCAAGAAGAACAGAGAGCGGGATGAGTGGGAGGAGGGCAGAGGGAAGCAGCGCTTGCTCTTGGAATCAGGCCAAAGGGAAACAAGATCCAGTCATAGGCAACACCAAGGGGCTGTTTGAATTCTTTTGTTGCCATAGCATCAAACAAGACAGGATTGCAAAGAGCATCTCGGGCAACATCCCAACACCCACCATGTTATAATGGAGAATTAAGGCCCAGAGGGGAGCAGAGACTTGCCGAAGGTGACACATGAGTGGCAGAGCCAGAGCTAGAACCCTGGTCTCTTGTCCTCCAGGGATGGAGGACTCTGAAAGAGCCACTTCATCTCTGGGATCCTTGGGGTCCTTATACTTAAAGTGGTTGCGGGGGGGGGGGAGGGGGGCGGGGCTGTGTGCTAATTCCTATTTTGAATGGTGAGGGTCAAATGTCCTGATGGGTATAGAAGGAGGATGAGGTCTATGTGAGTTGGGACTTGAAAGTTGTTTTCCAGAGAGAATGAGCTACAGGGAAAGGTATTCTGAACAGCATAAATAAAGGCAGGAAGGCATGGACGTGCAGGTTGTGTTTCAGGGCAGCCGGGGCTGGGGAAGAAACAGGAAATGAAGCTAAATGCCCAGACTGTTTGGTCATGTGAGAAGTGCCCACTGTCCCTCCGAGCGTCTAGCCCTCCTTTCTGTGGTAATGACCCTTCAGAACTCAGCCTCCCCGTGGAATCACTCCGCCTCATGCATCTGCTCAGCCTGCAGGGACAAGTTGGACTATGCAAGGTTGAGGGGACATGGGGGCTGTGCAGAGTCTGTGGGAGGCATTCCAGACGCAGTGGGCAGGGAAGTCTGCCTTGAGGAGGTCACAGCAGCCTCCCTGTGCTCGATCCCATTTACAGAATCCCAACGTTCAAGGTACATACTATGCCCAGCGTCTTAGTCCATTTGGACTTTTATACCTAAAATGCCATAGACTGCATGTCTCTTAAACAACAAACATTTCTTTTTCACAGTTCTGAAGGTTAGGAAGTGCAAGATCATGGTGCTGGTAGATTTGGTGTCTGGTGAGAGCTCACTTCTTGGTTCAGAGAGAGCTGTCTTCTCACTGTGTCCTCAAATGGTAGAAGGAAGGAGCTAGCAAACTCTCTGGGGGTCTCTTTAATTTTTTAAATTTTTATTATAATTTATTTTTTAATATTTATTGTTGAGAGACAAAGAGAGAGACAGAGCGCGAGTCGGGGAGGGGCAGAGAGAGGTAGACACAGAATCAGAAGCAGGCTCCAGGCTCTGAGCTGCTCACACAGAGCCCAACATGGAGCTTGAACTCACAAGCCATGAGATCATGACCTGAGCCAAAGTCAGGTGCTTAACTGACTGAGCCACCCAGGCGCTCCTCCCTTTAAGAATTTTTATGGTTTTAGGTCTCACATTGGTCTTCCATCCATTTTGAGTTTATGCGTATGGTGTAAGAATGTGGTCCAGTTTTGCATGTAGCTATCCAGTTTTCCCAATGCCATTTGTTGAAAAGACTCTTTTTCCCATTTTATATTCATTCTTCCTCTATTGATGAATTGATCATATGTTTGTGGGTTTATTTCTGAGTTTTCTATTCAGCTCCAAGATGTACCTCATTAATAGGTATATAGTATTCCAAGGCATCAACAAATTAAAAAATCATGGTTTATTCAACCACACCTCTAAATTTCTAATTTTTGCCACCACAAACAAAGCAGCGAAAAACATATTTGTTCTTATCCTTCAGGGCCGTTTTTATTTCTACTGTATACATTCTCAACAGTGGGACTATTGGGTCAAATGGTGGGCACCTCTTTCCAATCAGCAAAGTTTGAGGATCTTTTTCGCTCTATCCTTACCACGTCTGGAATATTGTTATTCTTCCTAATATCTGCCAAAATGACAGATTAGAAACATCATAGCATTGCTCCTTTGATTGGATTTTCTCACCCCCTACTAAATTTTAATAACTTCAGTTATTTTATTTTTGATTTCTAGAAGTTCTATTTGGCTTTTTTCAAATCTGCTTGGGTAATTTTTTAATTTGTGTTTTAGAGAGAGTGCTGGTGGGGGCAGAGGGAGGAGAGTGAGAGAGAGAGAGAGAGAGAGAGAGAGGGAATTTAGAGCAGACTCCATGCTCAGCACAGAGCCTCTGACACGGGGTTTGATCCCATGACCCTGAGATCATGAGAATTGGACGCTCAACCAATTGAGACACCCAGATACACTAAAATAAGCCTGGTAATTTTTTATCATATCTTTTTTTCTTTAAGTTTATTTATTTATCTTGAGGAGAGGCAGGGAGAAAGGGAGAGGGAGAGTCTCAAGCAGTCTCCATGCGGTCAGTGCAGAGCCAGACGTGGGGCTCAAAGTTATGAACCGTGAGATCATGACCTGAGGCAAAATCAAGAGTCAGATGCTTAACCAACTCTTGACGGCACCGAGGTGACCCTTTGATCATAACTTTTTGCTCTTCACTCACCTTTTAAATAACACATATTTATTTAAGCCCGTTAATCACTTACTATTTTTTTTAAGTTTGTTTATTTATTGCATGTGTATGTGGGGGGGTGGAGAAAGAGAAACTTTGAGGAGTTCAAGACTTTAGCGGAGGAAAGTAACTCCAGATCTGGTGGAAACAAGAGAACTAGAATTAGAAGCAGAGCCTGAGGGTGTGCCCGAATTACTGTAATCTCATGATAAAACTTGAATGGATAAGGAGTTACTTTTTATGGATGAGCAATACAAATGATTTCTCAGGGTGGAAACTACTGCTGGTGAAGATGCTGTGAAGATTGTTGAAATGACAACAATGAATGTAGAATTACACAAACTTAGTTGTTAAAACAGCTACAGTGTTTGAGAGGATTGACTCCAATTCTGAAAAAAGTTCTGAGGGTAAAATGCTATCGAACAGCATCGCATGCTACAGAGAAATCATTGATGAAAGAGTCAATTGATATGGCAAATTTCATTGTTTTATCTTAAGATACTGCCAAAGCCACGCCAGACTTCAGCAACCACCACCCTAAGCAGTCAGCAGCCATCAGGACTGAGGCAGACCTTCCCCCAACACAAAGATCATGAACTCTGTACTGTTTTCCATAGTGGTTGTATGTTGTTTAGTTCATTTTTTACTTTATTTTCTAGAACAGTTTTAGAGGTGCAGAGAAATTGAGAAGATAGTACAGAGTTCCCATATACCCCACATTCAGTTTCCCCTATTCTTTTTTATTTTTTAAGATTTTATTTTTAAGTAATATCTACACCCAACATGGAGCTCAAACCTATAAGCCCAAGATCAAGAGTCACTTGCTCTACCAACTGAGCCAGCCAGTCATTCCTTCCTGTATTCTTAACGTATTTCATTAGTGTGGTACATTTGTTACTCTTAATGAACCGACATTGACACACTACTATTAACTAAAGCCCATGGCTTTTTCATATTTCCTTAGTTTTTACTTAATGTCTATTTTCTTTTCCAGGATCCCATCCAGAACTCTACATTACATTATATTAAGTTGCCGTATTTCTTGGTTGTGACAATTTCTCAGATTTTCCTTGTTTTTAATAAGCCCTACAGTTTAAAGAATTATCAGTCAGAATATTGTGGGATGCCCCTCTTTGAATTTTTTAAGTTTATTTATTTATTTTGAGAGAGAGAGAGAGAGAGCAAATAGGGAAAGGGCAGAGAGAGGGAGAGAGAGAATCGAGATGTGGGGCTCGAACCTGTGACCTACGAGATCAGGCCTTGAGCCTCAGTCGGTTGCTTAACTGACTGAGCTACCCAGGTTTCCTGGAATTTGTTTGACGTTTTTCTCATGATTAGATTGGGATTATGGGGTTTGGGCCAAAGACCACAGAGATAAAGTGCTATTTTTCATCACATCACACTTACTTTCATCATGATATGAGTCTTGATGTTGCCCTTGATTACCTGGCTGAAGTAGGGTTTACCCGTTTTCTCTTTTTTCCTTTCCATACTGTCCTCTTTGGAAGAAAGTCACTACGCATGCACAGACCATACTTCAGGCGTGAGCAGTTACACCCCAGCTCCTTAGTGTTTTGTTTTAACAAGCAAAATAACCCACCCAACAGGTATCTCGGCTCTTACATCGTTGGTCATGCTTTGCGCTTTAAGCAGCTGATCTGAAGTGGATAAATACTCTACACTGGCTCTTGGAGTCTCACTTTACTCATTTGTATAACAGGTGTTGTTTATCCTTCACCCAGTAGGATTGTAGGGTGAGAAAGTCTCCTGCTGTCAATGTCAATTCCCTCTGCCTCCCCGGTTTGGCTGTCTGGGAAGCCCCTCAGAGAGAGAGTCGGTGACCAGCCTCGGGGACTCACGGCAAGCCTGTCGGAGCCCAAGTCAACCCTGGGCTCTACCCACACCCTGGGCGCACTTTGCCCCACCTGGGGGGCGTGGAGCAGAGGTGCACTTCCGCCAGGCAGCCACAAGTAGCTGGCACGTGGCAGGGCTGGGCGCCCAGCCGCCTGCGGGAACAAGATGATGAGCCTGACCTCGGGGCCCCGCTCCCTGCGGCCCCACCGGGCCTCGCCCTCCGCCGGCCCGCCGGTGGTGAGTGCGCCGCAGCAGGGCGGGCGGGCGGCTCTGTCTGCGGTCCCCATGCCTCTCTGCCTTCTTCCACTCCTTCCCCAGTGTCCCCCGTGCGCCCGGGTCTGAGTTCCCTTGCTTCCGGCGGGCCTCTGGCTGGGCGCTCTTCTCTTCCAGCTAGCTCTGGCTTTGGTCGCTCTCCTTCAGCGCTCAGGTGACCGGTCCCCTCCCGGCTCGGTCCAGCCGCTCCTCTTTGCCCTCTCTCCGGCGTTGCTGCCCACGCTGGTCTCCTGAGTCTTTGTTTTTAGCTGTTTTCTGTGTGTCTCCTCGCAGGCTTGCCCTAGTGCCCGCGTCTTCCTCTGCCCCTCCTCCTCCCACGTTTGGGAGCTGACGACTCAACGAAAGGCTCCCTTACCCACCACATCCTCATCCTCTCCAGCCTGCCCCTGGCCACTGGCTGGGTCCCGAGTCCACCTGCTTGCCTGCCTCCTCCCAGGACTTGGTTGAGGGGAATTTGCTGGGGAGGGGTGGGGGGAGGCGGCTGCGGGGGATCAGGAAAAGGCCCAGCGCACTTCAGGAGCAGAACATTCTAATCTCTGATGGCTAGGTGCCATCCTGAAGACTTGTAGAAGGGCAAAACGGATCCAGCAGTGAGGAGACTGTGGCTCTTTCCCATAGGGCGACGGTGACATCACTGCGGTTGGCTGTTGACAAAGTCACCTGCTCAGAGGTAGGGCCGCCCTAGGTACTCAATAAATGTCTGAATGAATTACTGAGCAAGAGAGAGAGCCAGCACGGTGCAGGATGCCAGGTAGGGAAAGATTGGCTTTTATCAGAATAACAGGTGCTCCTGTAAATCAGTGCAGCAGGTAAGCCCCAGTCAATTGAGCAGACATTTATTGAGCATCCTAGTGTGCTCAGCCCTGTAATAGGTACTGGTGACATAAAGATGAAACTGGGGTAGTCAGCCCTTAGGAACCTCACAGTTTCGTTGGAATACAGATGAACAAATGGAATTACAAGAGTTAACTACCATGACGATGGAAGTACAGGGCCCTGTAGGATCACAAGGAGACAACCCATCTAGAAAGATTCCTGGAGGAATTAACTTGAAGGATGAGTGGGCTAAATAAAGGGAATGTGGGCGGCAAATGAGTGAAGTCCTGGAGGCCAGGGGGACCGGCCTGTTCTGGATGGGTGCGGGAGAGCGGTTCTGGTGGCTGGTTGCCAGGGCTGCAGAGAGCCTTGTAAACCTCATGAAAGAGTCTAGAGTTTATCTAGAAGGGAATGCAAGGTTACCCAAATGTTTGTTTTATTTACTTTTTACTTTTTTATTAAAGAGAGAGAGAATGTCAAGCAGGCTCCGTGCTGAGCATGGAACTGACTCGAGGCTGGATCCCACGGCCCTGGGATCATGACCTGAGGCCAAATCAAGACTCCTCGGCAGCCCCCACCGAAGTGTTTAATGCAAGGTGTGACCACATCAGAGGGCAATCAAGGGGGCAGAGAGCCGTGGAATTGACCAGCATTTAGAATCACCAGGACTTGGTTATTGATTATCTGTGTGCGAGGAGGTCGAGGATGGGAGCAGACTGCAAGATTACAACCTGGATTTGTGACTCAGATGACTGAGTTGGGAGACAATGAAAAGGTCAGGGTTGTGGAGTGGGGAGAGATCTAGAGGGACCTGGGGGACATGTGAGTGGAGATGTCCCTCCACTGACTCTCCTAAGGGTGACCTAAGGAAATGTATGAATTTTTGACAGGGGGTTTGCAGGTGTGTAGGAGCCCTTTGGACTACAACTGGGTGAGAGCTAGGCCTGTTTGATTCATCCCAGTGTGCTCGGGGAGGACCAGCTCTGGCCTGATACCTAGCAAGAGCTCCTAAAGAGTGTATTTCCCCAGCTCATGCCCGCAGGGCCTGAGACAGGCTTTCTTACCCAGGAATGTCCCTTCAGGGTGACTGGTAGAAAAGGTGGGGAACTGGGGCCACAAAAATGGGCAGATGGTCCAGATGAGGGGTGGAAAAGAAGTCTTTATCTGCTAGAAACATACTGTAGTATTTGTGGGTGAGGTAGGAGGTCTGGGATTTCCAAAGGAACCGGGAGATTTGGGGGAAAAGGGAGGGAAACAAGGGACAGAATTAAGAAGTTCAGGAACAAGGCTGCCTTATTTGGTAAAGAAACGGGGGTGAGGATATCAGGGCAGGAAGCTATTTTGTGAAGCATCTGGAAATGAGCTTCAGAAACAACATTTCAAGGGTTGGACTCATTAGACTTTCAGAACTGGAGAGGCTTAGAGTTCTCTTTGTCCGTTTTGCCTCCCTATTTCATAGATGACTAGGCTTAAGCCCACAGAAGAAAGTGAGCTGCCCCAGGCACATCGCTAATTACAGAAAGCAGTAGGACTGGATGTCAGGAGGGGTAGGACACCCATTTGTACTGGAGTCAGACACGGGTCTGGTTGCAGCTCTGACTTCACTTCCCGGCTATGTGATCCATCTTTCTGACCTCTCCTGGCCTGTAATAGGGGGTCATCAAGAGCACCTGCGAGCTTTCAGTGGCACAGAAGGGATGAAGCACATGGATCCCTTCTAGGGTTAAAGTCTGTAACTTTGCAAAAGTGGCTTCACAGAGCCACCTCAGGGCTCACCAGACATCCTTGCCAAGGGGCCTTGAGGTTCATGGGAGAAAAAGGAAATCACAGGTTCTGGGTTTATTTTTCTCCTGGCTGTATTGTTTGGCTGCTGTCAGAATGCATCCATTCGGTCTCCCTTCTCCACTCCAGCGGGCAGAACTGTCCCCTGGTAAGAGCTGTTGCCATGGCAACTCAGCTCTTTCCCCCAGCAGTTTGGCTGCCTCTGACTCTCTTCATTCCAGTATTTTAATCTTAGGGGTAGAGCCCACAGACAAGTTGAAGATGAAGTCACACCTAAATGAGAACCAAGGACATTCCTGAATCCTATCACTCCTCCTGGCTCTGTAAAGACCAGTGGCAGAGTCTCTGGGTGGAAACGCAGCTTTCCCTCTGACACTGTAACGATCTTTTCTGCTGCTGCAGCCATCACACCGCCTAGGAAACCTTCCCTGACAACCTCCAACACACATCCATGCTTTCCAGTGTTCCCTCTCAGCGCCTACACATTTAAGCGTCTGTTTCCCTCTCTCCTCTGTGAGGTCCTTGAGGGCAGGGACTGTGTCCTATCCATCTGCTCAGGAGGAGGGCTTGAATGTAATAGGCCCTCTCTACCTTTTTTGTTTTTTTTAATTTTTTTAAAGTTTATTTATTTTGAGAGAGAGCACAAGCGGGGGGGGGGGGGGGGGGACAGAGAGAGGGAATCCCAAGCAGGCTCAGCATGGTCAACGCAGAGTCCGACGTGGGGCTTGAACTCATGAACCACAAGATCATAACTTGAGCCGAAATCAAGAGTCAGTGCTCAACAGACTGAGCCACCCAGGGGCCCCTCTACCTTTTTTTTTTAAAGAATGAGTAATTAAGGGAATGTAAGTGGAGGTATTTCAAGGTTGAACACTAACTGATGTAATGACTAAGAGCACGTGCTTTGGGGTAAATTGGTCCTGAGTTTAAGTTCTGACATCACTTAATACTAGTTGATTTTAGGCAGTTTACTTCAGCTCCTTAATCCTTAGTTTCTTCATGTGTAAAATGGGAATTTAATACATTCTTCATAGGACTGCTGTGAAGACTGAGTTAGGGACTGAATGTAAAGCACTCTGCACAGTCACTAGACTATGAGGGGAGAGACTCCTGCTTGTTCCTCATTGTGTACCAGGTACCTGGCACATCTGTGTTTTAGTGACCAAGTGAATGAATTTTATTATTATTTTTTACATTTATGTATTTATTTTGAGAGAGTGAGAGAATGAGAGAGTGAGAGTGAGGGAGGGGCAGGGAGAGAAGAAGAAAGACAATCCCAAGCACTGTCAGTGCAGAGCCTTGACGTGGGGCTTGAACTCACCAACTGCGAGATCATGACCTGAGCCGAAATCAAGAGTTGGATGCTTAACTGACTGAGCCACCAAGGAGCCCTGTTTTTTTTTTTAATTATTATTTTTATTATTTTTAATGTTTATTTCTTTTTGAGAGAGAAAGAGAACACATGCACACCTGTGTGTGCCTGCACTTGAGGGCATGTGCCAGTGGGGGCGGGGCAGAGAGAGAGGGCAGAGGATCTGAGCTGAGCTCTGAGCTGTCAGCACAGAGCCCAATGCGGGGCTTAAACCCACGACTGTGAGATCATGACCTGAGCTGAAGTTGGAGGCTTAACTGGCTGAGCCACTCAGGCGCCCCTGAGTGAATGAATTTTAAATAACCAAAGTTATTCAGGAAACTGGTTTGTAAGGATAGGCACTAGTGTATCACCTCATGTATAATAATCTGGTATTTTTGTTAGATCTGTTGGCAGCACTTTGCATTCCCTAAATGCAGCTTGACTCAGCCTGTTTCCACATCCCCTCTGCACTGGCCTGTGGGCATCCCAAGGCAGGTACCACATGGGTCTTAACCACATCCTCAGTGCACAACTCAAGGTTTGGCACAGAGAAGAGGCCTCTAAAAATGCTGTTGACCAGCTAAACCTAACTTCCATTGGCCCCACACTTTACTTTTTTTTTTTTAATTTTAAATAGTTTATTGTCAAGTTGGATTCCATAGAACACCCAGTGCTCATCCCCACAAGTGCTATGAGGCAATTTTGTACCCATTGTATCTGGTGTTACTGACCTTTTTCAGCACTAAGAATATTCCTGTTTTTTATTTATTTTTTTATTTAAAAAAAATTTTTTAATGCTTAATTTATTTCTAGGAGAGAGAGAGACAGCGTGAGCAGGGGAGGGTCAGAGAGAGAGGGAGTCACAGACTGAAACAGGCTCCAGGCTCCGAGCTGGCAGTCAGCACAGAGCCCGACGCGGGCCGGAACCCACGAACCGCGAGATCATGACCTAAGCGAAAGTCGGACGCTTAACCGACTAAGCCACCCAGGTGCCCCGAATATTCCTCTTATTTAACCCCCCATTGGCCCACATTTTGAAAAACATCAAACAAATTCCCTTAAAGTCATGCCAACTGCTAATAGGAACTTCTGACCGTTAAATAAGATTTTGTATTCCCCGAGTGGTGCCTGGGTGCTTCAGTCTGTTGAGTGTCAACTCTTGATTTCAGCTCAGGTCATGATCCCAGGGTCATGGGAACGAGCCCTGCTTTGGGCTCCGTGCTTGGGATTCTCTGTCTCCCATTGCCCCTCTCCCCTACTCCTGAACTCTCTCTCTCTCTCTCAAATAAAAAATAAATAAAAGAATTTGTATCCCCAACTCCCACCATGGGATGTGGACAAGCAGTAAATACCCAAGAAATGCTTCCTGTATGAAATGAATACATGTATGGTTTCTTACCGTCTTTGAAAGGTTGAAAATGCGCCCCCCCTTTTTTTTTTTTTTTTTTTTTTTGCTTTTCATTAGATCTTAGATCTGAGCATCCCACCTTGGGAACTTCTGACTTCACAACACCTCCATATCCCCACTTTAGTTTTTTTTTTTTTTATAGTTTTCTTTTTTCTTTTTTATTTATTTATTTTTTACAAATAGTTTATTGTCAAATTAGTTTCCACATAACACCCAGTGCTCATCCCCACAAGTGCCCTCCTCCATGCCCATCCCCCCCTCCCCCCCACATCCATCAGTCCTCAGTTTTTGTCAGCATTCAAGAGTCTCTCATGGTTTGCCTCTCTCCCTTTCCCCCACCATTTCCCCCCTTCTTCTCCCGATTGGTCCTCTGTTAAGTTCCTCCTAGTCCTCCTATACGTGCAAACATATGATATCTGTCCTTCTCTGCCTGACTTATTTCGCTCAGCATAACACCCTCAAGGTCCATCCATGTAGCTACACATGGCCAGATTTCATTGTTTCTCATTGCCATGTAGTATTCCATGGTATAGATAAACCACATCTTCTTGATCCATTCATCTGTTGATGGACACTTAGGCTCTTTCCATGTTTTAGCTATTGTCCATATCCCCACTTTAGAACCCACTTTAGAAATGAGGAAACGGGCCCGGGAGGAAAAAAGCCTTGCCAAAGGCCACAGAGTTTGCCAGCATTGTCACTGGGACTTGCCTCCCTAGCAGCGTCTTGGACAAATATCCTTTAATATTTAGTACCTGACAATAAGCCACGAGCTCCCTGGAGGTGGCGCTATTGGTTTCACTCGGCCTCTTGTGCTCTCAGGTGTGCCCCGTTGTGGAGCTTAACGTGGGAGGCGAGGTGTACACCACCACCGTGAGCACCCTGAGAAAAGTCCCCGGCTCCAAGCTGGCAGAGATGTTCTCCAGCTCCACAAAGGCCTGCCTGGATGCAGAAGGCCGCTTCTTCATCGATCGCCCCGGCACCTATTTCGGACCGATCCTGGACTACCTGCGCAGCGAGCACCTGCCCACGCAGCACATCCCGGAGGTGTACCGGGAGGCGCAGTTTTACGAAATCAAGCCTTTGGTCAAGCTCTTGGAGGACACGCCACAGATCTTCGCAGAGCAGGTGGCTCGGAAGCAGTTCCTGCTGCGGGTGCCGGCTTACAGCGAGAACCTGGAGCTCATGGTGCGCCTGGCGCGCGCCGAGGCCGTCGCGGCGCGCAGCTCCAAAGTGCTGGTGTGCGTGGTGCGCACGGAAGACGAGGCAGCCCAGTGCGCAGACGCCCTGCGTGGCCTCGAGTTTGAAAAGAAGTCCGTTGTCAAGTTCGGGCCTTGGAAGGCGGCCCCGCAGGTCAAAGACCTCCTGGACTGCGTGAAGATGGACATTGCAGCCCAGGGGTACCAGGTATACTATGAACCCTACTCCGAGAGAACATTACGGGCCAAGTATTTCAACTACTTTTATACATTCCTCTTCATCTGGTGGTGATCCCCAGGGTCAGGGGCAGTGTATTATGGGTTCTGCTGGGACTTATGAAATTAAAAGTTGCCTTCAAAAACCATCTTCTGGGGAGCCTCGGTGGCTCAGTCGGTTAAGCGTCGGACTTCAGCCCAGGTCACGATCTTGCAGTCCCGGAGTTCGAGCCCTGCCTCTGGCTCTGTGCTGACAGCTCAGAGCCTGGAGCCTGCTTTGGATTCTGTGTCTCCCTCTCTCTCTGCCCCTCCCCTGCTCGTGATCTGTCTCTCTTTCAAAAATAAATAAACGTTAAAAAAGTTTTTAAAAAGCCATCTTCCTTTAATTTCATAAATAAACATCAAACAGCTTCTAACGTGGTCTAGGAGGCTTGCCCCCTAATAATTGTCTATCCCCCTGTTGAGGATTGTGTGCTCATTGCAACTGACTCCACCATGCTTGCCTAGTGAGGTGCGGCCGCTTCCTCTCTAAGGCCTCACTTACCTGCCAGATCCTTCCCCTCAAGTCCAAAAGTAAGGCTGAGGTGAGTTGGAGTGTTTCAACAATGCTTTGGCTGGAGATGCAGGATGATAACAGGAAAATAACAGAATACCACTGATCTAGATAATATGATCTGAAAATGTAGTCTACCCGGCCACAGCTTATGGTCTAATCCTCTAGCCCTGTTATGTGCCTTCATGAGGAAGACACCAAGTTCATACCTGTAGTTGATGCCACTCAGATCTCCCTTTTCTAGATGCTGTGAGTGTTGACTGGTACAGCTTCACAGCTGTTTTCTGTAGAGCAGTGATTCTCAAAAGTGTGGTCCCTGGACCAGCAGCAGCAGCAATACCTGGGAGCTTCTCAGAAATACAAATTCTCTGGCCCCCACCTCAGACCTACTGAATCAGAAACTGAGAGTTGGCCCAACAGTCTGTTTTAATAAGCCCACCAGGTGATTCTGATGCACCCTATTTTGAGACCAGCTCTAGAAAAGAATTGCCATATTGCTTGTGTGGAGATAGAGAAGACTGAGCCCTTACCTCAAGGAGGAATCAACTCTGGTGTAGTTCCTGTTCTGGACATCCTTGTGGGATTGAGTGAAGTCAGTCCTCATCTGATGCCACAGTCTTGCTTAGGATTCTTCTGCTGCTGTATCCTACCTGTCTCACCCCCTTTCCCCTGAGAGCACGTCCTCTATACAGAGAGTCTTACACAGAGTCTCTTTTTTCAGGCTCTGCTTCTCAACTTGACAGTAACGGAACTCGAAGGAGGACATGGGTAGACATTCATCCTTTTCCAGGTCTAAGTCTGGGATAGACGGCCCCTTTCCTCTCTGCCTGCTAGAGTGACCATCCATCCTCAAGATCAAGGTTAATGTTCAGGGTTTAAGGAATTACTGCTGTCAGGGAGTTTCAAATTTAAACATAAAAATTGCTCAGAATGGTAATTTTTCTTATTTTCAAAACTTTCCCCATGTGTTCCTTTTGGTATTTAGTATGGCTGACAATTTTAAGTGGAAAAATCCTGAATGTCTGCTTGAACTTTTTATCATGAACCAATTCATTATTTATCAAGAACCTGAAGAAAAAAAGTTTATACTCTTTGGTCAGTGATTACATTTATGAGATTAGATTCCCAGGAGATACTCCTTTCTGTAAGAACAAAATAGGATTGCTTAAAATCTCAATTTTGTGAATTCTGAAAATGTCAGTGTCCTCGTGAGATTTCTGCACATTCCCAGAGGGTTTGTTTTCTTATGGTCAGTTCTGGTTCTCTGCTCCTGCTGACTTCATGGATCATCTAGATGTCTTGAGCTTGTTGTTGCTGTTCTGCATGATGCTCACCCAGATTGAACACTCCTATCTTTTTCTTAATTTTTACAAATCCTGCTTCCATGAGCTATTTGTGAACGTAGCCAACTGTGGCAAATACATGCAAATAAAATGGAGGGAGTTTACAAGGCGGAAATGCAAATAACTTCAAATTGAGAGTATTTGACACATCTGTTCCCAAAAGTCTCAGTCATTCCCATCACTAGGAACTTTTTACTAGTAGACTGTGTTTGTTTCCTGTTTTTTCTTCCCTCCCTGTTCTTGCCATGCTTCTCTGTAGGTGGGAGTAATCTTCCCCACCCCACTGACTTCATGCTTGGCTTCATGACCTAATCTGGCCAACGGAATATGCATGGAAGTGACTGTGCCAATTCCAAACTCAGGCTTGGCATGCCAAGTGTCCATCAGCCTTCTTGTCTTCTTGTTATTTGCCAGGAGAAGACCACACTCCAGTTTAGCTACCTCTTGTATTGCTTTGGCTGCAGCCTGCATGCCCATAGAATCTCATTCTCTTCCTGAGCAATTTACCAAATTTTATTCAACAAAGGCAATTTCAACATTCCCTCCCCAATCCTAATCCATAATACAGTTAACTATTTTCATCTCACTTGATTTATAAAAACAAAACAATGGAGAAATAAGTCAAGTGTATTATATTACATCTATATAATGCAATGTTATACAGCAATTAAGATTATATTTATAGAGGCTAAAAATTATTGGGGAGGAGAATACTCATTTAATTCAGTGCAATTTAATTTAATTTGTGCTCCAAAAGAGGATGTAAGGTGGTGGGGTTTCCAGGGCTCTGAAAAAAAGAACTATCCAAAAAGATATAAATTAAAAGTACATAAATTAAGTGGACACTCTTGGTTGCTTACCCAACAATACCATCTCCCCCTTGCTTGTTTCCTAACAGAAAAAGCAAAAGAGTAAAGCACATTAATAACGTTCAAAAAAATGATCTCTGGTCATATGTAGGGGTTTGTGATACTTTTCTGAACTATTGGGATTAACTGAAGAGAATTAGAGTCAAATAAGGAAAACTTAAAGCTGAATGGTAACTAAAACTGTCATTATGATCCAAAGGAAAACATAACGACTGAACCCTGTGAGATTGCCCTCATGAGGCACGCTGGTTCATAGTTCTATGCCAGGTTTGCAGGTCTCCTTGTTCTCCTAGAGGACCTCTTTTATTTATTTATTTTTTAATTCTCTGCTTATTTTCCCATACTCTCCTACTCCCTTCCCCAATCCATTTCTGCTCTGCTCAGTGTCTTCAAAAGCTGATCCCTAGGTACTGCATGCCCAAGCCCCTTCCTGGTTGTCTAAAGACTTGGAAAGTACTAGACTGGAAGACCCTGATAAGAAGGCCTGGGAGTGGCCTTCCATGTGTGGATGATCTCTTGGAATGGTGAAAATATTTGTGTTTCTTCCAAATGGCCACCAGAGGGCATCCATTCCAGAAGAGGCTCTCAAAAAATAAATGGACATGACCATCTAACCTGTGGATGTCAGTCAGCCTCTTTTTCCAGCTCCCAAGTGCTTGCTCAATGGAATCATGAGAAAGGTAGCCATGATGGCTATGAATGGGCTCTACAGTATAGATTTCCTTTCACCAAAGCTAGTCTGGCTCCTAATGGATGTCCAACAGCAAATACCAACACTGAGCTCCTAATACAGTATTATTACTGGAGTTGCGGGGGGGGGGGTGGCGGGGGAGACTAGACACTTCTTGGTGATAGGTTGATTGCACTGCAAATCAGTTAACTAGACTACTCTGTAACAAACTGTTAGAAGCAATACTGACATTTCTAAGCAAATGGTGTTGACAGCTTTGTTTGACGACGTCTGCAAAATTATTTAGGGCTGGGGAGACTTACTTACATTACAAAAGTATAAATAAATAATAGTAATAAAGTTAATAAAGTTGGTATCACCCTCCAATCCTGGAGATATTTCAGGATGATTTAAAAAAGTGTCTCTCATTGGGTTGGAAGGCAGATTTGTTTTCTGACCAGTATGATAAAGTCTCTCTCCAGAGAGCAAGTTTGCTAGCATTTCTCTTTTAAGATTGAGGGTTTCCTAAGCTCAGTGTTCTTCATCTGTATGACAGATCTATTGTGTGCATGGCATTTACCTGCATCACCTCCATGGTGCTTGGGGAGCAAGGGAACTAATGAAAACATGAAATTCATGCCACTTGCTATCCTGTGAATAATAAACTATCTAAATCCATTTGGGCTTGTCTCCTTACCAACTGAATCTATGGAAATGTGTCAAATCACCTTAGCATCTTAGGGACTGTCTGACCACAGGACAACCTCCTGATCCTCAAACTTAGTGCTTTAAGGTTATAATCATTAATTATTTCTCACAAAACTACAGACGGGGCAATTCTTCTGGTCTTGGTTGGGCTCCCTCATGCATCTGTAGTCAGATGGTGGATCAGCAGGGGTGGGCTGGTCTAAGATGTCCTAAGTGGGGTCAGCTTGGCTTGGCTTGTTCCATCTGGTCACTCATTATCCAGCAGACTTGATTGTACTTATTCTCATGGCAATGGTAGGCTTCTAAAATCAAACAAAAGGCCTGGGGAATGTGTATGTAGATGGACTGAGGCCTTGGCTGAAAACTGTCTGGCTATCACTCCCGCCACTTTATACTGGCCAGTCACAAAGCCAGATTAATTCAAAGGGTGGAGACAGAGATTCTGTCTCTCTCTCTTTTAAGTTTATTTATTTATTTATTTTGAGAGAGGGGAGCAGAGGGAGAGATGGAGAGAATCCCAAGCAGGCTCCAATGCTGTCAACGCAGAGCTCACCGTAGGGCTCGACCTCACGAACCACAAAGATCATGACCTGAGCTAAAACCAAGAGTCAGACGCTTCCCTGACTGAGCCACCCAGGTGCCCCCAGAGACTCCATCTCTTAACGGAAGCAGCTTCAGAGATATATTTCAAAGGGTACACATACAGAGAGAGGGAGCATCAGGGTCATTTTTGCAATCATTCTACCACATACTGGATCCTTTCCATCAGGGAGGGAGTGGTGATTGGTCCTCACAGAGTAGATACATATTCCAAATTTGGATCTGGATTTCTTACTGCTATAGACTGGGTTTGTGTGTCCCTGCCCCTGCCTACCCCACCCCAAATTCATGTGTTGAAATCCTAACCCTCAATGTCATAGTTAATACAAAGGTGGAGTCCTTGGGAGATAATTAAGTCATGAGGTAAGAATCCTAATGAATGGGATTGGTGTTCATTTTTTTTAATTAAAAAATTTTTAATGTTTATTTTTGAGAGAGAGACAGAGACAGAGCAC